ATTTTCGTTCATGCGATTATTTTTTATTTTCAATGATTAACGGTATATGGTTAATAATCAATGGTAATAATTTCTTTAAAAAATCTTCGCTTAATGAGATAATTAAACTGCAAAATATTAGAGCCGACTTGGTTTCTAATTGAGTCGTCAGGGAATATCTCAGAATCTTTGGGACAACCTCAGGTAAAGGTGAAGGCTAGAAAAATGTTTCTCCAGGAATTCAAATATCCTGCTAAACCTGATGGAGATAAAATCGACTTAGACGTCCTTACTTGTTCGCTGCTCAAGGATAAGTACTTATACTCTAATCAAAATCCAATATCGAAAAAAATTTCACCTGAACGAAAAAAATTGCATTATGTAAAAAAACAAATTCTTCACATATTTCCTTCGTATAAAAAAATTATGAAAATTTTTAAAATTTTGCAAATTAAAAAAAAAAGTATCGTCAGTAAATTTTGAGGTTTTTTTCGAAACAAAATAGCTTCCTGTTGAAATTCAGGTTATGAAAAAATTTGTACGATTTCTTGAGCACGATCCATTCATTAAGAAACTACTTTCTAATTGTTTGATGAATTTTTAAATACCTTTTGGTCCCAAATAGTGAAACCCATTAAAGTCTTCAAATGATAGAATCGGAAAGACCATCAAACATTCATAATGATTTTTAGAAAACCATTAAAAAATGAAATGATTTATAAGAAATTTTTTATTGTGTCAATATGACACTAAATTTTCAAAATGAAAAATTAATTTGTTTGAGTGATTCCTTGTCAATAAGTTTAAAAAATCCCTCAAACGTTCTAAAGCCTTGAGTTCTCTCATATAAAAAGTGCTGTTGCACGAGTCATTTTTCGGATAAATGCGGGGAAAAATTATTGTGCAGCACGGCAAAATCGAAGCGACAGTGAATTTTCACGAGAAATATGAGAAAAATTATGACACTGGCTGGCAAATTTTTCTGGTGCTCTACCAGAATCCTAGGATCCGATCGCGCATTCGTAAGATTTCGGCACTCTTCGTCCCCCCGCCGCAACCGCGAACGTCGACTCAACGTGACCAGATGATTTATTCCGTTACCTCCTCTCTCACATATCTCCTTACTGAAACCCCAGGTTAATGTTTTTCATAATATCAATTAACTATTGAATGTAATTTATCATGTAATAGAAAACAGTCAGGGATCAAGCTTTTATTGTGCGGTACCGGAATTTTTACTATGCAGCACCGGAATTTTTCTGGTGCTAGACGATTGAACCCACTTTACCAAACAGCACGGTAATTTTTGCCTGAATTTCCTCAGAAAAATTCTGGATTTTTTTCTCCGTGTATTTTCAAAAATAAAATCAGTTTCTGTTGAAATTCCAGATATGAACGTATTTTTTACGGTTCCGAAAACATGATTTAAGAATATCGAAATACTTTGGCTATTTTTTATTCGGTGAAATGCTTTTATTTTGTAACTTGACCGTAAGTTTCCGAATAATTGACAATTATGATATTATTTAAACTTTGCAGGCCTGCATTTGAATCTCAATATAGAACGGTTAGAAAATATTTTTAAAATCTGAAAAAAAATTACAAACTTTACTTTTGAAGGAAGATTGATGAAATAATTAAAAAATTACAATTTCTGAAAATTCCGAGCACTTTCTATAAATAATATGTGAACAATCAATTTTCCACCATAAAAATCATTCGTTCGGAATAGTAATACATTTATTCATATTGAGAATTTTACTAGAAATCAAGTCCATAACTAAAAACAAAGTTTCCGAAAGTTTAAACAATTTCAATTATTTATTTATAAACAACGTATGTTGAAAAAATAATAATTTTGTGCTAAATGTAACTTGAATGACGCTGAATAGTCAAGATTAAAAAAAAAAATTTCTCACGCAATTTAATTGAAAAAATTGAAAAAAAATCCCCAAAATTGAAAAAAAAAATTAAAATTAATATTAATATTAATAAATAAAAAATGTATATTCCTAAATTTCATTATTAATTCAAATTAATTAATTGAATTGCGTAAAAAAAATTTAACGATTGAAAATGGTTGAATCTATAGTGTAGTCCGTACCAAACTATAAAACATACTTGAATATCCCCAATTCGTGAAAAAATTCTTCCAGAAAAAAATCTCAACGTATTCCCTCGTCTAAAAATCGAGAACTTGAAATCTCCACTTGAAATTTTCAAAGTTAACATAAAAAAATAACTAAAAAATGCAACGTCAATGTAAAAAAAGCACTTACAACCTCGAAATGAGGAAACCCATCCCCTCTCCACTAATAATAATCTCGTCCATACCTACCAGACCCGTTGCGAGCCCCTCGACCTGGTCATTCAGACTTGATTGAAGGTTAATAGACCTCGGCGCCCCCCGTCCTCCGATGATCCGTGAAATATCACAGCGTTTTGGCATCAAACATCCAATTACACTAGCCCTTAAATTACAGTGGGATTGGATTCCACGGGAATGAATGTCATAAATTCCCAACTCCACATCAACTTTTCAATCTTACTTAGGCACTTGTTTATTCAAATCTCCAAATACTTTCCAAAAACATCATTTTTATTTCTCCTCAGAGATTTATTCGATTCCATCTGTACAATTTGTAAATTATTCTTCATTATTAACAAATTGAAAAATATTATAATAGATTTATCCATACAAACTGTATTTATTGTCTTGATACCATGCGCACAATTTTTTTCCCTAATTTCTGATATTTTCTTAATAAAACCTATTCTCGTATCTTCGTGTCCAATTCAATAATGAAAATTTCATGCTTGTATAAATATAATAAACGAAGTAAAAGTCACTACAATCGTATTTCCTCATGACAAAAGCATTAGCCTAATCGACATAACCCCGAATCGCAGTTATAAAATACATTAATCAGTAACAGTGATTCATCTACAATCGATGAAATGAAAGACAAAAATGTCTCGATGCTATCCTCAGCTTGAAAAAAAATCTGTTGTTTCTTACAGTAAGATTATTCATTACTAAAAAAAGAAGGAACAAAAATGAGAAATTATTGTCGTCGACTCTATCACACAATATTCCCACCGAGAAATGCCTCAATCCAAACGCTTCTTATCACTAAAGGCCTGAAATGAGCATGATATAATCCTCCCTCAGGTTATCAATTCAATTACAATCTTTAACCTCTTTTCGATTTCCCCCCATTATCAACCAATAATTTATGCCACTCTCATTCCAGAAATAAGTCTTTTGATTCCAAGCTCATGACAATTTCATTGTTTACCGAATTTCATTTTAAAGGAACACGAATAGTCGTGACAAAATGAGGCGTGGCGAGTTGAAAGAATACGGATAATACGGAGGGCGAATGATTAAAACATGTACTCATAAAAAAAAATCGACGAACATTCTGGCAGTCTTACATTGAGCGTAAATGACCTTAAATGTGCTTCTCCCACTTCGCCAAAAAAAACCCGAACGATGCATTGATTAATTGCATTAAAATAGAGAAAAAAAATTGATAATTGAACCCCCGGCGTACTAAAATGTCCCTAGATTAACTAATAATCATACTCTCAGAACGTTAATTTAATCCCGAGAAATACAAACGATAATCTTGCACAGTTTTACGGTTGCATTAAACGTGTCAACGCTTAATAAACTAATTAAATTCGCTCGTTACGTAGGCATACTTAAAGGCAACTACCGATTGCTGGCGAAAAGCCGCTGTGATTCCCCAGTTGTTCATATTTTATTTCACAACTCGGTGGAATTAAAACGGCGTTCGGCCACGGACGGTAAAAGCGGCAGTAATTAAGAGGCACGTGACGGGTGCTCAAACACCCACGAAAATGGGTAGTTAAAGGATATGTAATATATTGCGCGACGACATGAAAACATTGGCCCCTTGTTTCACTTGGAATGGACGATTTCGCGAAGATACGTATATCTACACATTTTATGTATAATTTTCATATATAATATATATCTTTCTATATTCTTAATGTTCTATGTGGGGGGGGGGAGGAATTTTATAATCTACTTGCAATAGCGAAAGGAACGAGAAGATAAATGATGAATTGGTTATGGAAGTTACGCTACTGTGGGAGGACGGCGTCATTTTCATCCTTTTCTTAGTTTATGCACAAGTTGTGAATCTGAAATACTCGATTTAAGAGAATCTAGAGGCGTCCAAGTCTTTCTAAATCATGGGTAAGCTTGTTTGCGATTGAAAAAAATATTATCCTTCGATAGTTTGACCTTTGCACCCTCAAAAATCCCCTAAATTCAATCTGATTTGGACAGCTTTGTGCCCAAATAAAAGGATAT